GCTACTGCAGAGGCCGTAATCACCACGACGATGACACTCCCAGCAGTGTTGACCAGAAATCCAAGGCCACCTCCGACCAGGATCTGAGCCAGCTGCACCATACAGGTGAGGGCCGCACAGTCCACGCCCTTCCCCCGCCCATTGCTGTCTGGGCCTGCTCCAGGGGCCTGCATCTGCAAGGAGAAGCACAGGAACAGTGTTTGATCTTCAAGGAGCTGTCACTGTGCTGAGGTGGGCAAACTTTCTCCATAAGGAACCAGATAGTAAATGCCTCTGTGAGTCATAAGGTCCTGGCCGTAAATACCGAGTTTTGATATTACAGTGCAAAAGCAGCTACCTCTGTAAAAAATTACATCCTAACATAACTTTATAGACATTAGTGTTGGATTTCATGTCATTTTCGCTTGTTATAAAACATTAGCCTTCTTTGGGATTTTTCTTGAACCATTTAAAAATGTGAAAGGAATTCTTAGCTTAGAGACTGTACAAAAACAGGTAGCAGGCCACCTTTGGCCATCAGGTGCTAATTTGCTAACCTCTGATTTCAGGCCACAAGGAAGCTCCACCCTCCTATCTGATGCTATCCTCCTTACTTGTCACAAAGGTTATAATTCCACCATTAACACATAAGAGGGCTGAGTGCCTAATATAGGCAAAATTGTCTCTTCCTCAGAAGTCATACAATGTAGTGAGGACTCCATAGATAAAGACTAACTCCCAGTCTTTTCCTCCCCTCATGTTAAAAATGCAAACATTTTCAGAATGATGTCTAATCATTCACATACTTAGGGGAAGCAACATCAAAATCAGCTCAACCCTTCAGTATATAGCTATTTGTTTAACATAATTGTTGGATTTGTGTTTGGTCTGAATTGATAAAATGTTGCCATTTACGGATGTTCAGTGTTTTTGCAATTTCGTGCTGAGATGGATTGGACTCAGTTATCTCCTTAGCTTTTACATCACTGCTCCAGTTAAGGAAGTTTAAGCCTATTTGCATGGAAGAAAAGTTGCACATCTGATACAAAGAGATGGTGGTAATTTTAGAGCAGAAACACCCCAACTCAATGTCCTCATAAGGACTGCCTCGGTCTTGCTCTCTGGTCTGAGTTCTGAACCATAGATGGAGGTGGCACCTCTCTCAGGGTATCACTCATGGCTCCAACCTTCTTCCATGCACACTTCCTAAAGTCTGGACTCCCAAAGACAAGCCTTGGAATTTCCTACTCACAATTCCCAAGTCCCAGAAATGCCACTCTGTACTTCTGTAGTGCTTGGGGTCAGCGAGACCCTCACTGTGGACACCAGAAGTGCTGCAGGCATCCTGGGAAGACCTGAAGGGTGGCTGTAGAAAATCTGGGCTCCTCCTTTCTTGGCTCTTTGTGATTGTGGACTGGTTTCTTGGCATCACTAAGTCCCCTTTTCCTAACTAGAGAAATGAAGGTGATGGTCCTCTTTCTACAGCTTACCAGCTGCTCCAGGGTAAGGCGGAAGGGGGCCCTGTGTGGTTGTGACTGATCAGGCAGGCAAATGCTGCTGTTTCAAGAACCCTTGCTTTTCAACTCTGCTTTGCACTTTTCTACTAAATCCCCTACCCAGCCCCAGTCTTCCGGGAGTCCCAGTGTTCCCTAGGGCAGAGTGTCAATCAGGACATACCTCCTTCTCCTCCTCTCGGTGGTACTCAGCGATGAGGTTGAACGGTACCGTGTACAGGGTGCTGGACATGACCCCAAACAAGGTACAGAGGACCAGTGTAGAATAGACAT